CTTTTGCGTTATTTTTTTTATATTTTTACTTCATCCTTCTGAGATAAAAATATGGATCCTATATGAATCACTTGTAAGAGGTGTATCTTTTACAAATTGAGTAGTATTAAGTTGCTGTCAAATTTACATACATTTGTTTATCTAGGAAAACTCAAATTATTAAAATTATGTGCGAAATATTAATTTTGATATAGTATTGCTATCAAGAAAATTCAGTCTAATTATGGGACTGTTGACCAACTGATGCATATTCTTTTCCGTGTAATTTTTTTTGCTAAGAAACATATTATAAATTTACTGCATTGAATAACAAATATATTTTATTGAATTAATCATTAAATTTATATCATACAATAATATAATTTTTTATTATATTGAGACAACTACAAAATTAATAAAAGTTACACCCAGATTTTCATATTATATTTTGCATCATATTTCGTTTTGAGCAATTTCTGATAATTTCATTATTTGTTTTTTTGTATTCCTACTTTGACATTCTATGCGATAAATATGAGTAATATATGAACTCATGAAAGATGCTTTACAAATCTACCAGTACCGACTAAATTCTTTACAAATCGACTAATAAGGTTGCTGCCACATGTACGTATAAGATTTCACATCAACATACAGGTTAATATGACCAATTGTCTATTCAGTTCGCTGATAGGTGTGCGCGCTTAGATACACTAAGGGAAAAATTACCTTAAAATCAACAAATATTTCTTTGATGGGTGCCATTAACATATTTACTTAAATCTAAGTAAATATTCTCTTTATTTAAATCAAATATTGTTTACCTGATTTAAGTAAATAATATTTGGTTTAAATAAAGAGAATTTAGATTTAAATAAATATGTTAATGGCGTTTATCAAAGAAATATTTGTTGATTTTAAAGTAATTTTTCCCTCAGTGTATAAACTGAGCACGGACTTGACGGTATCCTTGTTTACAGTGGCGTAGCCAGGGGGGAAGGGCTGAGAGGGTTGCAGTCCCCCCCGAAATTAATTTTCTGGGTTAAGCTGGGTTATGTGTGAGAAAAATTTTTTCGAATGACCTTTTTGTTTGCTCGTCAAAAATAAAAAGTACAGCCCTCTCCGAAACTTTTTTCTGGCTACGCCACTGCTTGTTTATACAACGATTTACATTTATTTTTGCTAATACAAAAACAAAAAAATGTGTGCGGTGATAGATTTTTTTGCAAACGATTATATCGCCAAGTTCCTACTGAGTCTATGTCAAAGAGTGTGCAAAGTCAGCAAAGTGTGTAAGCAATTCGTTATACTGACTTGTATGATAGCATATGATATTTTATGGATATCCTATGGACGTTCTTAGGACATTAGAACGTTCTCTGAACGTCTCTAGAATGTTCTTGGAAAATTTATGCTATTGAGGTATGTTGATGCAACACTCTGTCTATCTGGATGATTTTGTAGCTCTAAATGAAAATTCGGATATAAAAACAGAAAGTTTTTAGTGAGAAATTTTTAGTCAGTCAATTGTTCTCAGTTATCTAAATAGAATTTTAAAGCAGCCGAATGTTCAGACGAATGTTCAGCAGAATGTTCAGGTGGCGATAATAGAGATATCGTTTCTCTTCACCGAATTTTCGTCTGGTCCCCATCTTGTTACACAATCTGCGACTTTTTTTCTGTGATCCCCATTCTGTTACACAAATTCCGATTTTTCCTCATATATATAACCGTTTTGTATGTAAAAATTTAAGAACCCTTACGGAAAAAAACTATTGAGACTCAATACTAATTATTGAAGTTGCAATATTTAGTATTTAAGTTGTAATACTGAGTATTCAGAGTTAGTATTGGTGAATACTGAATATTGAGAGTTAGTATTGGTCAATACTGAAGTATTGAGTGAGTTAAATATTGATGAATACTGAATATTGAGAGTTAGTATTGGTCAATACTTAAATATTGATGTAGTTAAGTATTGATGAAGACTGAGTATTGCGAGTTAGTATTGGTCAATACTTAAATATTCATTATATCAAACAACATTTATAAAACATTTAATAACATTTAAAAAAACATTTTAGAGACGTTAAAAATAATGGGGTAAGTTCTCTTTTTTCATTAAAAAAACGTTTTTTTAACATTTGGAAGAATGTTTTGTTTTTTTAATATTTAATAAACATTTATTTTAATATTTAAAAAATATTTTTTTAAGTGTTATCATTTAACATTTAAAAAATATTTTCTAAATGTTAAAATAAACGTTTATTAAATATTAGAAAACAAAACATTTTTTTCAAACGTTAAAAAACGTTAAAAAACGTTCTTTTAATTAAAAAAAGAGAATTTATTCCATTATTTTTAACGTTTTAAAAATGTTTTTTTAAATGTTTTTTTAAATTATAATGTTTTGTAATGTCAACACTTAGGTAAACATATCTTATATAAATATTTTATGCATACATTTCTGACTTCTTTTTCATTATATGAAATATTTGAACTAAATAGTTTATTTTTGTGGTTATACTAAATAATATTATAAGCAAATTATAATTACTGCTTCGGCTGCATATGGGGATAATAAAAAACGCTTAATATCAATTGAAGAAATAGCACAGCAGCCAAGATGATAGACTAGGAACCTGGAGATCTGAGGTCTCGAGGTCGTGTTCGATTAGTACTGAGTAAATTTTCAGGTGTGAAAATAGTGAGAAATCAAATAAAAAATCATGCTGTGAGGGATAATATATTTTAATAATATTCCACATATATACTTTTAGTACTCATCAATACTAAGTATTGCCCAAAAAAGTATTGGCCAATTTAGTATTAACCAATACTAAGTATTGCGCGCGCAATAGTTTTTTTCCGTAAGGGAAGTGAAGTCATCACTGAGAAGCGGATACTTCCGACGGGATATTTTCGCGTATTCGGAATATGATATATATCATCTTACACGTCGAAGTAAAAGATGAGATATCTCGTAAAAACTGCACGCCCCTCGATCGTTCACCCGAGAGACGCGAGACGCGTTTGTCTAATGCCATCCAATTAGATCCGTTCTCCCTCCCCGCGCTCGGCATTCGATTTGAATAAGATTCTCATAAGACGGCGAGAGATATATGTTGATGGCGCCCAGACTGGAAGAAATGACCCGTGAACGACTAGCGAAGATCAATTTGGTGGTGGCACATTGCTACTGCTCGCTCTGCTTCGCACGGCGAAGCATTTGTCCCTGCGAATTAATCATCGCGACGAAGAACTTCACGCGGCTTCTCACTTCGTCGTATTTATGACGATGATTCACGACACTCGGATTTCCAACATGCCGAAGATTCTTCCTAATACGATGATTAAAAGCATTTACCCACATACATCAATTTATTCATCGCCTATTATACGACGAAAATACTGTAGTAAAAATTACAACAACAAAATGCTTGTAATACCATTCTAATTATATAGAATTATGAGCGAAATTATCATGTATTTGCTTAAAAACGTTATGCACGTTTGACTTTTTACTACAAAATTATTCTAATTACTTGAATGTTCTTTTTTCATTATATGTCAGGTAGATTGTAATTTACTACTTCTATAAAATAATTTATACTATAATTTTAATAGTATAAATCAATAGTCAATCAATAGTCAGCATTCAAAATAACTATTGTAAAAAGAAATATAATTTCAACGTAATTTTTACTACAATATTTTCTCCATGTGTGATGATTCAGAGCATTTTCATTCTATACATAGAAATGAAGTTAATTTTCGGGCCGATTTTCGAGAGTCTTTTAATTATGATAATATTAACTCCTCAAATGTCCTTTTCTGATACGTCATGTATTTTTTATACCAAAATATATAATGACATGTCAAAGTCGTCATACAATCTGAAGAACTACTTTCTAAATTTCTTGGAATGAAATTTGCAAAGTAGAATGATTATCGAGTTATACAAACTCGCGTGATTTTTTGTTTATATAGAGTGAATTTTCCACTCTGCATTGTCGAGCGAATATTTTCACTCGAAATTAAAGAGTTAATCTGATGTATGCGACAAAAACATATTCGCTCTAATCAATCGAAATATTTCAAGTTGATCACATGGTCAACTCCCAATAAGATTGACTTATATAGTACTACAACCACGAGTTACTCAAGAAGAAGAATATATCAGACGATCAAAATCGACTCTAAGCTTGAATGAAACATTCTCTGTTGCGACTTCGAGTGGCAATATTTTTACTATCACTTCAAGTAAAAATATCATCTTGTCACTTGTTTTGAGTGAAGAACCCCTTCTCCAAAAAATTTAAAGAATACTTAATGTACTATTCATTTTGCAAAAATATACAGGATGTCCTAAAACAACCTTCGAAATTCTTATAAAAGCATAATCACCGATTAAGATAAACATAAAAATTCTATATCATTTTGCGATATTCACAATAATTATCAAGATATTAATTAAAGAAGATTTGTAAATGATAACGCGAGATATGATAGATGAGCTGTAGTGGCGACATCTGCCTAAATAAAACTAAATAAAAAGTCCTCTACCTTTTTCCTAATAATTTCCTAGATTTTTAGTTATTAATTAGAGAACATTAATATATTATCACGAGCAATTATCCGCTAATCTTCTTTAATTAATAATTCGAGTTTTGAAGGTTGTTTTGGAACACTCTATATAAGATGAAATATGTTATTTTTGTTTTTTGTCCCTTATAGAAATATCATACTAAGAATCATTGATAATTACTTATTTTCAGTATTAAAAATACTGGATAATAAGTAATTATCAATGATTCTTAGTATGATATTTCTATAAGGGGTGTGAGAGATTTGAAACAAAATTGGCAATAGTATTTACATGGAAATTTTCTTTTAATTTAATTATATGTTTGAAAATTAACTATTTTGTAATAGTTATTATTCGTTTAGTTATTAATTGTGTTAATTGTTTCGTAATAGTTTGATAATGCATTTGCCTAACAGCAATGATTAATTTGCAGGATCCAATTGTCGAGGTAACGCGAATGGAAACGGCAAGCAAAGAAGATCGCGAACGAACTTTACCATCGAGCAACTGGCCGAGCTTGAGAGACTCTTCGACGAGACACATTATCCCGACGCGTTTATGAGGGAAGAGCTGAGCCAGCGGCTCGGTCTTAGCGAGGCACGAGTGCAAGTCTGGTTCCAGAATCGACGCGCCAAGTGTCGTAAGCATGAGAGCCAATTGCACAAAGGTAACCGTTATGGTAAATACTGACTTGTTGTAAGAATTCTGGCAGATTTCTTTCTAGAAAATTAACATGAAAGTACCATATTTGAAGTCTGAGAGATTTTTGGTGCAGAAATTTGCAAGATCCTTGCAGCAATCAAACAGAAGTCCTTAGCAAAAATAGAGAACCAGTCGATATAAGTACGGAAAAATTACGGAAATTTTCTACTTAAAATTCAGCTTAATTGAACCACCAAGAGTTAAGATATTACTGCAAAATGACGACCTTGAAAAAAAATATCTTGAAAAAAATATCTTGAAATATATTTTAACTGCATGTATCATACGTTTATATTAAATATTTGTTCATCAAAATTATATTTTTCTTCTCTTTATATGTTGTATAAATATACATCAAAATAACACTTTCGCATATTCATTCAATTCGTCATAAAAAATTGTGAAAAAACAAGCACGATTTTCAGGCAATTTGACCCTCTAGTCCCCTTAAGAGAATTCTGCAAGAACCGAAATAAATCGGATGATGCTATGTTCGGTGAATACGCCGGATGCGGCACATCCCATTTAAGTTTCAATAATTTTTAGCGAGTCATCAAACATACGTGAGATCTGCTGTTGTCCTGATCAAAGATGCTGTTGTTTTGATGACATTTTTTTTATTGACCAGTTCGATGAAACCGTGCGAACCACTTTCGAACAATACTTTCAACAACAATATCATCTCCGTAAACGTTACACACTTTTGTTGTTTACGCACCGCATTTTTGCCTTTTTTAAAGTTAAAATAACATGAAATAAAACAATAAATTTAAAGTAAAACAACATAAAATGCATTTTATTTTTCTCCATCTTCACGACCCACTAAAACGAACAAAAATTAATCAATTTACATATACTTTTTTTAAAGACGCGTTGAAATGCCATCTTTCAAAATATGTCAAAATGTCATATATTTAAGCCAGGCGTAACACCGTTTCACGCATTGCTGTACCTAGTTACTGAAAAACCAACTTTGTTAAAATCCAATTGCTAGATTTGGAAGAGCATCACGGAGAGAATCTTATTCTACAAATTGCTATAGAATGTTGTAACCGAGAAACATATCGACATTCTGTCCTAATTTATTATTTTTCTTCTTCATATGTGCTATTTATATTTTAAGAACTCAAATACTTTGTTAAAAAACATTTACTACGTTCTTTAAATTTATTACGCTCTTAACAAGATAAGCTTTATTGACAGTATACAGTAAGCTTTATGGACAGTATACTATTGTGCTCCTTGAAAGCATGTAAGGATTAAAGAAAATTTACATGAAAAAGAGCTATAATAATCTTTTCGTATATTATTTCTCTATATGACGAAAATCTTAAATGCCAATCAGTATATATAGTTCTAAATTATTTTGTGCCCACGCGACAACTCTCATCTGTAAGACATCCGTAAAAGTGCGAAGATGCATTACGATGGTTGTTACTCTGAGAGAAAAGTGTTTGGTATTTACGACTATAATTGCAAAGTGAAATAATCATAGCCAGGAAAATTATTTTTGTAGTACTAATATTAATGCAATAATAATAAATTGTATAATTGTAATAATAAATAAGAATGGTGATAATAATAACTTATATGCATATCCCTATTATTATCTCTTCGTTTGACCGACAAAAAAATATGGTTGGCGCTAAAAATAATTTTAATTTTAGTGCACATACACATGAAAAGAAAAACTTGGTCGAATTAATCAGAATTCAGGATACATTAACTAGACTGTTTGGTGAGATATGAACGAACTATATATTTTTGATTGAGGTAACCAGACAAGTTTGGTAACTTTAATCAAATTAAACAAAATTATATTCACATTATTACTAGAAATTTTATTACATTTTTAACTGAATATTGTTTTTTAAAGTATCACTACACATGATTATTTTGCTTGAAATTTAATTGATTTGATGTTATATTATATTTGGAGAACTAATTTTTTAATCCTGATAGAGATTCAAAACCTAGGACTCTTTGGAGTCGTCTATTTACACGCTATGTCACTTCACCAAATAATAGATCCATCATATATATCCATTATATTATCTACCCGTGTTGTAATCAGCGTTGAATATCAGAATATGTGATTATAATAACTAAATTATAATATGTAATTATAATAAAATTCTGTTTAGTTCAACCAACAGCCAAACGTACGTTCATCCACAACCATGCTTTTTAGTCATAATGAACAGACACTTGGATGTTACAACTGAATCAGCAGTAACTAAATTTTAATCGTTGTTAGACCTAAACGTTCTGGTTGACTACCAGAATATTTCATTATAATAATATTCATTATAACCAGAAATTCTATTTAGCTCAACTAAATCTTGTTTAACCAAATATCACGTTAATCCAACTGAGGTTGTTTTTTCCATGTAAAATTATCCATTAACTTTCTTCAGTGTAATTATTAGAAAATAACGAACGATTCGTTAAACGTTTCAGGTGTCGCTGGAAGTATGGTACTGGCGCCGCGCAGCCCGCCGACTACTTTGGAACCGTGTCGGGTGGCGCCTTACCTGCCAGCCCTCAGGTTGCATCCGCCGCCGATGCAGAGCACAGGGGCGGCGAGTGTCACCGTGGGATCGGCCTTTGACCCAGCGATGTTGCATTACGCGGCAGCCGGTGGCCTCTTCTGCCTGCCGCCTCCGCCGCCACCACCCCCGACTGCGCCGTCGACCGGCCACCACCCTCATCCGCTGAGCCTGGCGGCGTCATTGGCCGCCGCGGCGGCCCGCTCCAAGAACAGCAGCATCGCCGACCTGAGGCTGAAGGCGAGACGGCACCAGGAGGCCTTAGGGCTTGACAGGCCCGCGTAAGGCACCAGCGACGCGTCGTCGTCATCTTCGTCGTCGTTGTCTTCGTCGTCTTGGACGACGAGAACTCGGCGAGAATGAAAAGCATGAGCGAGACGACGCGACGGTGAGTACGCACCCAGCGTCGAAAAGGCAGCCGCACGTCCGGTCGAGTGACCACTTAGAGCGGCGACGGATTCACGAGACTGACGGTGTAATTCCCCGGTGAGTTTGATTCCTGTCGTTGTAGACGCTGGCGAGGTATCAGCCGACCGACACTCACTGCCGTCATTCGTTGTTAGGGTACTCCGTACGCGAACGAAGCTGAATCTCTCCACATCTTCCATGAGCGAGAAACTCGGGTTCCGCCTAATTAGAATCTCTTCGATTGTTCAATGCAGTGAGATTCGATTTAATCTTTTCGCGACGGCGTAATTGGCCGCCATTAGGGTAAAACACTCAGTTATTAATATCTTATTATTTATGCCTGTTTCTACTATCGTCGATTATACCTTGATCTGAATTTGAGTCTTTGTCTTAGAATCTTAAAGTTTGAACTCAGGTTAAAGTTTCATTCACATTCGAATGGAAACGTAAACATTGGTCATTGACATTCTGAAAAAATCCGGTTTTGCTTGCGACCAACATTTGTTTTAATTGTGAAGTTAACTAAAATATTCTCTTTTGGAATTATAAAGTAAGAAAAAATTTAATTGCAATTTTAGTTGTAATTTTAATTGTAATTTTAGTTATATATATATACATATATATATATATATATATATATATATATATATATATATATATATA